AGGTCATGAAGCCAAGGGCGTCCTAATAATAAGTTGAAAGAAGCTTTAATATCCACTACGTGAAAGGTAGTGGCATGTTCTATTGCTCCCGCCGTTACATTCATGGTAATCTTTCCAAGAGCTTGGTGACGAGTATCGTCGTAAGCTCTTATTCCTTACATTGGCGGGGTTAAATCTTCATCCCTTATTCTTAGCATCGTCGCATTTCTAAGTGGACAAACATTGATTGCCGATCCATTATCTAAAAGACTCATTGGGACATTCATTCTCTTGCAGACTACTGTGAGGTTTAGAACCTTGTAATGCTTGTCACCTTCCAAAGGTAGATCCTTGTCAGAAAAGGTGATTAAGTTGATGGAACTAGGGAGATCACTCGTGAGAAAGTTAGCCAACCCATCAGGAGTGGTTTCGGAGTTTATCCCTATTTTGTCCAAGGCGTTCATTATCGCCAACCTATGTTCTCGGGATGTGGCTAGATGTTTCCATAAGTCATCTCAACCTTGGTCTTCTTGAATTGCTTGTCAACATCGTTGTCCTCTATAATAGGTATGGGAACTTGTTGCATTGTAGGAATAGGTTGTGTGGTGATGGGAGGTTGCATTCTCCCAGATCTTGTGAGAACGTCTATGGGTGATCCCAAAAGTCACTTACTGGATATATAACTGAAAAGGAGGTTCTTCCATATCCTTGAGATAGACGTCCTCGTCATCGCTGTCCCAAACCCCATTGATGCTAATATCTTGTTCTTGTGGAATCTTTACTAGCTTCTTGTTATCAATCAGCTTTTGGATTACATCTTTAAATTTAAAACAATACTCGATGGTATGTCCCCCTGATTGATGATATGGACAATAGAATCTATTTGTCCTCTTTAATGACTCAAATGGTCTCGGTTCGAGAGGTTTAATCTTACCACTCTCGGAGAGCATTTTTAACATGTTAGCATAGGAAGTCCTAATTGGAGTGTAAGGCTTATTACTCCTCTTGGGTGTATCAATTACATGGAGAGAAAATGGCTTCTTCTCCATGGGTGGAACTTTGACATGTTTGCTTTGGACCACCTTTTCTTGTTTCTTTGCGAATTCAATGGATTCACGTAACAAGTCTATTCCCTCCCACATCGATCGTATGAGAATCCACACTTCTTCCCTCGTTGCAAGTTCTTGTCCGGGAGGTAAATCACTCATGGCATCGAAAAAGGTTTCCTCCTCTTCTTCGATAGCATGAATTTCTTCAACTGGTTTGATGAGGGATGAAGGACCAACATGGTATTCCTCATCAGAGATAGCCAAAGAATCAGAAAGGGGTGCATTATTGATACTTGGCTTCTTTCTTGCAGGGGGCAATGGAAGCTTATTATTGTTAATTAAATCTTGGATAGCTTCCTTAAGCTTACAACAATTTTCAGTGAGATGGCCCCTGCCTTGGTGATACTTGCAATGTGTGTTGGGATTCCAGTTAGTTGTTCTCTTTTCAACAGGTGCATCCCCAAATGGTCCAATGGGAGTTATAAGACAATTTTCATGTAATCGGTCAAATGTTGTGTCATAACTCATACCCATATGAGTAAAGTTCCTCCTAAATGGTTTCTTTTGTCCTTGATTGTTCATAGCAAGAACTTCACTTAAATTAAGGGTGCTAACATTGTTAAAGTTGGTGGTTTTGGAAGAAGGATTGTCGATCTTCTTACCTTTCAAGCCACTGTTGGAGTTGTTATTATTAGCATCTTTTTGTTTAGCAAGGTCGTCTTCAATGTTAATTCCAATATCATAGACGACCTTAAAGGTATGCAAATTGTTTTGATACTTAAGATGTTTGGAGTACTTTTCTTGGAGGTTTTTAATGAACATCCTCACAGATTCCTTTTCACTTGGTACTTCAATCATCCTAGCAGAAGTTTCTCTCCATTTATTAAAGAAAGAAGTGAAACCTTCATTCTCTTTTTGCTTAAGTATTTCAAGTTCTCTATGATTAGTTTCCACTTGAATATTACATTTATACCTATCAATGAAAGTGTTTACAATATATTCCCAAGTAGAGATTTTCTCCTTGTCAAGGGAAAAGAATCATTGTTGACAAATGGTTTCAATAGATAAAGAAAATAAAGAATGAAAGCCCTTCCTATCAATCCCCTTAATATTAATTATATTATAGTCTCAAAGGCTCTTAAATGGAAATATGGGTTGTCTGTAGCTTTGAACTTTGGGATGTTGTTGGCATTGAACTTTTGCGGAAGAAGCTCCTTGTCTACTGAGACCCCTTGCGAGCTAATGCCCTAGAACCTGTAGTCATTGGATATCTTGTTCAAGTTCTCTTGCATGTGCTCCATTTGTTGTTGCTTCACAGGGTTATTGATTTGGAGGGATAAAGTCCTCAACACCTCAGTAACACTAGCCATTTGCGTCTTAAGCTCATTGACTTCTTCTTGACTCGCCATTATCTTCTTAGCTTTTCTTTTCCGACTGACTGGTTTATCAAAAAGTTGTACTTGAATGAAGAGGTTGTCCTTGATCAAACGCCCTTCCTTTCTTGACCACACACTGTAAATTAAACCATTTTATTTGTTTTAATGACTTGACTCGAATTGACTTTGACTTTACTAGTTTATAAAGAAAAAGCAAAAACAAAAATAGGGTGCATATTTTTAGGAATCAAGTATATGGATTCAAACAAATGTGGTTTAATTGGAGGATTAATATCCGACTCCCCCCCCCTAAAAAAATGACGGAAAACACGCGCATACAAGACTCTCTAGACATGGTCAAAGTGTACATTCATGTTAGTGTGTGCTTTATTTGTGAGTGCAAGTGACATGTTTTGACTCTTGTGTATGACCATGGGACTAAGTGCTTAGACTTAATTAAGGACTAAATATGGTTACTACCATTAACAAACTGAACTAATGATTAATAAACTGTTTAATTAGACTCGTCGTGATGACTCGTGCAAAAAACTGAAATGTCGCCAAAGCAACAGAACTGTCGCCGCACAATGCAGTGCAGCGCCAGACGACAAAGTTGTCGCATGGCGTCGCACAGCAGTGTTTGGTGCTGCAGCCCAGATTTTTGCACCATTACTGGAACATTAATCTGGGACTGCTTTCAGTATTTTTACTCTATGAGGACAGGCCTAAAGTCGTACTAAGTCACTTTTGATTAATTTATTAACATTAATTACTTAAATTAATTAATTAATTAGGCAAAGCTCTTTTAGTCATTAATTAGTTTAATTATACTTAATCACAAGTCAAACAAACGGTTAGGAAAAAACACATAGAGTATGCACAACAAATAATGCACAAGTAGTCAAGTAGACAAAATATGATGTAATGAGTTTGCAACATAACCATGGATCTAGTTCTCTAAAGTTCAGGATATGGATTAATTAAATAGGGTCCATGATTATGAGTCAGGATGCACCGCGCGTAAGCCTTACCTTTGGAATGGTTGGCGCGTGTGGATGGGACCCCGCGAGTTTAACTCATTTCCATGGTTTGATGAATTCAACATTCTCGGATGTACCCTTTGTTGCTCAGAGCGTTTAATCGGGTAGATGGAGCATGAATTCCTAGAGGGTTATGTCCATATGTAAAACACATATGGGTTTTAGAAAAAAGAGAAAAAATCAATCAGGAAGTAGAATCGATCCAACAGTGCTAGAACTAGTCAAAACAAGAAGGTAGATTTCTGACTCGGTATTAGAAGAACACGGCGCCAGACAACAGAGTCTGTCGCCAGATGACAAAATTGTCGCCAGGCGATAAAGCTATTTTTCAGGCGACGCACTCTGTTTTCTAGACAGTTGTTCCTACATGCCTCAACAGCTTTTTGTGTTCTTAGAATTTTCCAGCTTTTGTAGTATTATTTTGATTCTAGTTGTGAAAGATATTTCTCAAATTTCCTACTTGTAAAAATCCTATGTTTTTTACTTATTACGGATGGTCTTTCAAATGAGAACCTTTTTTATGCATAGGACAATAATGTTAATCAAAATTACGCACATGAAATACTTAGAACTTTTTGAGTCTCATCCACTCATTCTAAATCATTGCCGAAATACATTTCAGGAATTAAAATAGAAATCCTCCCTAGCGGAGTCACCAAAAACTGTAGGGAATATTTCAAGCATTATCCCAAACTTGAACTCTACTGTGATCATACGCTTAAGCATGGTGGCGTCCAAAGGGAAAAAAGCTAGAGTAAAAGAGTCGCCAACATGTTTTAGAAACTTGTAAACCGTTCACAGGGTGAAGGTTACACCCCTTAACGATCCAGGAGATCGTTAAATCCAATAGGTTTGGAACCATGACTGGTGTTTGGGGATAAGGGTACGAATCTAACCTAAAAGAGATTAAACTTGCCCTAAAAATAGGTCTCTACTTTATTCTTTTCGTATTCATGTGCGCTATCTGACTAACTTACAATCATTAGGTTTACCCTGAACCTGTTTAATCTGTGTTGGTTGAATATTAATGCACAAATAAAACTATTATTGGCGATCACTTGAATTATAATCAAATTAACCCTAAACAAGATTATTAATTGTATTATTAAGCGTGATTACAAGTACAAATTCCCTTTAAACATGCATAAAAGGCGTGATCAAGCAATTACAATAATATCAAGCAACATATTAATCATCATAATAATAATTATAACAATCATAATAATAATAATTATAACAATTATAAAAATAATCATGTTAAAGCATAATAATAATTGCAAGATCTTAGGCATGACACTAACATGATTAATAACAAACCCTACCATGTCACTAAACAATAAAGATCAAATCTTTAGTCCTAACATGATACTAACATGATATTAGGAAAGAAAATAGGAAGCATCCTTCTAATCATACTTGATATTAGAAATTTGAGTTATTACCCTAAACATGATACTAGGAAGATCAAAACATCCTAACATGATATTAGGAATCAAAATAATAATCTAAGCATGATTTCTTTATCATAATATCAATAAAAACAATTAAAGTACTTACTTGAATGCCTCGTACCGCTTTCTAATAACAAAATACACACGTTAGTAACTTCAAGGAAAATAATAAAATTACAGAATTAAATTAAATAATTGAAATAAAGATTTAATAAAGTTTAGACTAGATTTGGGACCAAACCCTCAGAAATATCAAATGTTTCACGTCTAGGGCGAAGGCAACTTCGAACTTGGCTAGGTGTGTCTAGTGCTAATGTATGAGGAATTGTGTTTGTAAAGGCTAGGCTAAGAGAGAGGGAGAAAGAGAATAAGTTTTACCTTTGAGAGAGAGAGAAGAATTAGAGAATTCTAATTATTGAAAAACGAAGGTCTAAGGACCCTATTTATAATAAAATAGTCCGTAATAGATAAAAAGAATCAGAGTTTGAAAAGTAATAAAACACGCATTTGTCGCGAACGACACGACCTGTCGCTACCTGTCGTTTGGCGATGCAGAAGGTTTTCCACGCATTTTGATAGGTGTGTCGTGTACCTAACAAAAATAAATCTAACTAGACCACTACTATGTAGACGGGAAAGCAAGGGTCGGATCCCAAGAGACTATAGTTCAACTAATTAAATAGACTCAAGCAATTACTAAGCAAGTAACCAAATCAAATGAATGAGAATCAATAACTAAAGAACGAATTAAAACGATTAAATCAAAACAATATGATAAATCAATGCTAAAAACATCCGAGATCAAGCATCACCACGAATACAATTAATGCAATAGTCGTTCTACCACTAACATATAATTCAATTGGTTAATGAGGAAAAGTAATCCATGAATAATACCAATGGTCTCTCCCGAGTTATCAATGGCTTCTCTAATCACAATCAAGCCTACTTCCGTGGAATCATGCATGTAAATTAAAGACCTTGATCACATTACTCTGACTTCCTAATCATCCATTCAACTACTTTGTATATCTCTTATTTTAATTTTCTGCTCTTTCTTGAACGAAATTATTACATTGATTTCACTGTTGGTTTTCTTGATGTTGTTTCATCATATTTTTATAATCAGTTTATTACTTTCAAAGGTTATTTTTCTTTTGTGGGTTCTAACGTTATGAAAGGTGAAGTACTACTTTTGTCATTTCTTTATAAGTTACTCATTAGGGTCTTTAGTACGTACATGGTAATTAGTTTTCAATTTTAGTTCTATTATTTTGTTCGAACTATAATTAGTTTTTAAATTATAGGATCATAGTGGTTATTAGCCCAAAGTTAAAGATTTAATTATTAAATGATGTGTTCTGTCACTTATGTGGTCTACACAAGATACATAGACAAGGATAACTTTTCAAATTCTATTTTCGTAATATGCTGGGAAACATAAGATATAAAGGATGGAAATATAGTATCTTAATGTCTCGGGATTAGAATACATTGAAATTGATTAATGAAAATATTTTATGTTTAATCAAAATAACATTACCCTTTGTTAATACTGCATACTTAAGATAACTCATTTTTTCTTGTAGCTTTTTGGTAAGGTGAATATGAATATCAATATAAGTGTTATGCTTATGAGTTTCAGTTTAATTTGATGAAGCTAGGGTTTGATTTGGTGTTTTTTGTCTCTTAATTGTGCTATGTAGATGGAGTCACCTTGCTAGAACGAAAGTTCAAGAAACTCGCACTATATGCCCCTGATTGGATTGTATAAGAACTAGTAAGTTCTGTTCCTAGGGAGCTTTTTTGTCATGTCTAATGTGCAACATTATATGAATTGTTTACCATAAAGTGACCTATGCAGATCTTATGATGGAAATGCATGTCTGAAAGGTATATCTACCCATTTATGTGTACTCCCTTCTTTGTTAGTATAATGTAACTCAATTTGTTTGTAGATTGGTGATGCTTTTTGAAAATATTGTAGTATCTTAAAATTACAATCAAAGTATATTGCAGCAGGCCAATCAAGTTTCCCAACCTGCCTGAAGGTTGAATTAACTCCCTCCACATCCCCCATCTTAAAACTAATCCCTTTCCTTGGTATGATGAGGGATGGATATCACCAGTCAATGTTCAACAAAAATTTTCCTTTCAAAAACTCTAAACATAACAGCATTACCCCAAGAAACTAGATGAGGTAGAGAAAATAGGCGAAATGGCACATGACTTGAAGAAGCCGAAGGCCAGCCATACATATCATCACATTACAATTATATGGCCACATTAATATCTAAATATTGTCTTTCAGAATCTAACACAAGCTACCATAATGCAAGCAATTAACAAGAAGGATTTATACTCTGACACAATACCAAGAAAAAAAAATCCAAAAACAAGCAATACACAAAGATGGGGGAAAATGTATACCTTACAAACTAGCCACCAAATCAATTACTCAGCTGCAAGATCCACCACGGTATATCTACCTCAACTGCTACACATAGAAAGCCAATTGCCACACTAACGGCTGCAACTCATACACAAGTACCCTAAATTATAACTTAAATCACAACAAACAATAAAAATTCATAAATTTATATTCATCATACACACCATTAACAAAACCAAAATTCGAAAATCAAACAAACCCATCATTCAATAAACATTGAATGAAAATAAATCAAGTGGGGTTTAACAAATATAGGAACCTTAAATTTAGCAATTAATGAAAAATTAAGAAATTTTTTTTTAATCTGTATAGAACAACGAAAAACAAAACATTGAGAATAAACCCACTAATTGATTATCTTACAATTAAGCATCAAAATACAACAACAAAACTCCTTTCTACATTTATAGTTGAACATCAGACACCTAATTATCTAATATTAGAGAAAAATCCAACTTACTAGAATTTCAGCCATGATGTTACAAATATTCTAATCTTAATCTATTGAATAAAACCCAACTTACTACTAAGCCATTTTAATACAATTATCAGACAACAATTGAGGTAAACCTATCATATATGTGATTAAGTCGGTAATTACAAGCAATTAAACAAAACTAACAAATCAATTGTGTTTTTTAAATAACCAGACCAACTAATTCACTAATCTAACATAAGTAAATGATTCAAAAGCTTAATATACCTTAACTGGGATGTTGCCTTCCGAGAATCACAAACGGCTAGGCTGGTACCGTCCGACTCCGTCAACAACTCAACAAGGACGGACGGGAAGTCGAGAACTTGACTTACACCACCAACTGGACAAGAAGCCGAGAATACCACCCACATTTACAAAATGACATTGGAGCCGTTGAATGAGCTCGATTTAGAAGAGAGAGTAATTTGGGGCTTTGAGGTTAGAGTTTGCTATTAGAACGAGGAAACGCATGATGGGGTAAAGGGAATTGGGGATCTAAAAAAACCTAGAAATTAACAAATTAAACTAATACCATAAAAGGGAAAATAACAAAGAGAGAAACTGAAGATGAATTAAAGAGAGAAAACAAAGAAGTTGAGGGATCAAAGATGAGATATTGATCGGCGGATATCTGAAAATGGAGATAAGTAGTTTTATCGGATTTTTCACCAAATACCACTGAGTTAAAGCTTAATTCACCAAATACCACTGAGTTTAACATAAATGTCACCAAATGCCCTTATTGACTAAAGCCATTAACTCCGTTAGTCATTAAGGTTAATTGTGCCACGTGGCTGTCACTTATTGGTTCTTATTAATATTATTTAATTAATTACTTAAATAAAGAATAAAAAAAATTAAAAAAAATTAAATAAATAAACCACCACCAACCTAGCCACCGCTCCCCACCCAGCCAACATCCCTACCCCTACCGGCACCACCATGTCTACACCGCTGCCACCGCCCCCACCGCCGCCGCCATGTCTACACCGCCGCACATCCCTTTCCCTTAAATCACTATCCTCTCAAGTCCCACCCTAAAACTCGAAAAACCCTCTCTTCGACACCCAAACCCCCTTGTCGGCTCCCAGACCCACCTTCCCCGAGCCGGCGAACCTAATTCACCCCTTAATTTTCCAACTCCACCCCTTTCCCCCCTCTGAACCACCACCCCAAAACCTTAAAATCCCAAAATCAAAATCTAGGGTTTTAATTTTGGGTTTTGGGATTTTGGGTTCAACTGCGGGCTGGACAGGTGCTTAGCGTGGTGGTGTAGTTGGTGTCGTGAAATGAAGGTAAGGTGTTGCGGTGGTTTGTAGCTGGTGTCGTATGGTGGCGAATTGGAGGATGTGCGGTTTGTGTGGGTGAGCTGGGAGGTGGTGCGAAGTAGAGTTGCGTGGGTGGTAATTTGGGCGGTGTTCGGCGGCAAAGGGATGGAATTGGTAATTTTTGCAGTTTGTATGGTGGCAGCAGCGGTGCGGCTGGAGATGCGGGGGAGAAAGGGAATTAGTTGCGTGGGGCTGTGATTGGGGATGGCAGGGAGGTGGTCAGGTGTTGGATATGGTGGATCAAGGGAGAGATTCATGCACCGACGCAAGGCTGAGTACGGTGAAAGTCAGCGCCGGTGGTGGTTCAAGGCTGAGAGAAGGCGACGAGGGGCTGGGGTGCTAGGTGGCGGTTGTGGGGAGGGGAGATGGCTGACAGTTGGTGGTGGTTTTATTTTTTTTTAATTATTTTTGTTAAAGTTTTTTAATTAATTAATTGATTAATTATTAAAGTAAATAGTTTAAGTAAGAGCCAATTAGAGGCTTCCACGTGTGACATTTAACTCTTCATGACTAACGGGGTTAAGAAAAAGGGCATTTGGTGACATTTATATTAAACTCAGTGGTACATGGTGTATTAGAAAGTTTTTGGTGGTATATGGTGAATTAAGCTTTAACTCGATGGTATTTGGTTAAAAATCCGTGGTTTTATTCATGGTCGGTGAGAGGCGATGAAGGAATGAATGAGGGAGGCGAGGAAAGGAAAGAAAAAAAAAAGACAAAGGGAATGAGGATTCTAGGGTTTTTGTTTGAAGCTGCTTTAGTTTGTTTTTAAATTTGGCAAAGGTATCGCCTATGATAGTGGAGGATTAGAGGCGACTTGTAAAGTAATACTTTATGAGTCACACATAAAGAAAGATGGGACGTGTATAGTTTATGTGTCGCCTATTATAGCGTAGGTGATGTCTATGCCTGTCAATTTATTTTTATGTGTCTTTTATCAAGCTTTATGTGTCACATGCTTTGTAAGAGGCGACTCTAAAACTATACGCATCACCTATTAATTTGAGGCGACTCCAAAAGGGCGACTTCATAGGGTGTTTTTGTAGTAGTGAAAGAATAGCAAAACCGCTGGAGTCACCTGGCCTCCCTAAATTAGACACTTTCGGACTTGGTTTCGAACCGACTCGGGAAGATCTCAAGCGAGCCCAGGAAAAGTCAAAGGCACGTAGGGACGCTCGCATCCAAAAGAAAGTAATCCCAATGGATCAGTATCCTCTTACCCTTAATGGACAATTATAAAAGAAGGAGAGGACTATCCATGCTATGAATTTCCCAAACCGTTTGTCATAAATTGCATAAGGAAACCGGGATTCGAGATTTTCTTAAATTCCTACTTCATAGACGAAATCCCAACTCCTGTCCGCAAGGAGAAAGCACCCCCATCTTTGACTTTAATGTCGTGGAACTACTATTCGGGTGAGGAAAAGATGAGCCAACATACAAAGAGGATAATTCCTCGCTCGTCCAAACAGTCCTACAAAGCGAAAGCTTCGATCCCTCGAAGCTAATCACTCCAGCGGAAGGATCACTACAAGGGTGGCGCAAAACCGTCAAGGTGACTACTCCAAGCGGAAGGAAAATCTCCATCACAACGGGGCAAGGACCGATGTTCGAAGAGTCGTCTACGTCTGAGTTAGAGTTAGAGTCAGAGTCTCTCCCTATAGAGTCATCTAAGTCTTTAGTTGTAGCACCCCCTCCTTCTATCTCTTCCCCTAGGATAGTTAGTGATCAAATCCTTGAGGACATATCCCTCTTTGATGTAATGATCTCAGAATTTAATAATATGTCTTCTTATCCTTACTCCTTGTGTTATTCTTTAACCCAAGATGACGACCATTGCTTAACTAACAATGAACAGGACAAAGAACTTATTAAAGCAATGGAAACACTTGAAAAGAAAACACCGATAATTGAAGAAACTGAGACGGTTGATATCTCAAATGGTTCAACCAATAAAAGAGATATCAACCGATTTAATTAACTTGCTTAAAGAATTCATCGATGTATTCGCTTGATCATATGAAGATATTCCAGGCATTAATAGACAAATAGCTCAACACACCATACCATTAATTCCAGGAATGAAACCTGTAAAACAAAAGTTACGTCGAATGAAACCCGACATAGCTCTTAAAATAAAAGAAGAAGTTCAAAAAAAAATACTGCAGGTTTCATCAAGGTATCCAAATACCCCGAATGGGTCGCCAACGTCGTCCCAGTTCCGAAAAAGGATGGAAGGGTAAGAATGTGTGTCGACTATCGAGATTTAAATAAGACAAGTCCAAAGGACGACTTCCCTTTACCACACATTGATATTCTAGTGGATAACACCGCAAATCATGCACTTCTCTCGTTCATGGATGGATACGTGAGCTATAATGTGATTCTCATAGCGGAAGAAGTTATGGAGAAAACAACCTTCATAACACCATGGGGTACTTACTACTACATGGTAATGCCATTCGGGTTGAAAAACGCGGGTGCTACTTACCAACGAGCAGCGACTGCCTTGATCCATGATATGATGCATAAAGAGGTTGAAGTATACGTGGACGATATGATTGTAAAATCAAAAGATCGCTCAGGCCATCAAATAGCCTTGAGAAAATTCTTTGAAAGGCTAAAAAAATACAACATAAGGTTGAATCCATCTAAGTGTGCTTTTAGAGTCACCTCCGGCAAGCTTTTGGGTTACGTCATAAGCTCTAGAGGAATATAGATAGACCTAACCAAGATTAAGGCAATCATGTCAATGCTACCACCCAAAACCAAGAAGCAAATTCGAGGATTTATTGGCCGGTTGCAATACATAAGCATGTTTATATCAAAATTAACAACAATATATGAACCAATCTTTAAAAAGTTTAAAAAGAATGTACCGGTGATATGGGATGACGAGTGTCAAAAAGCCTTTGAAAAGATCAAAGCCTATCTCGCAAATCCTCCCGTATTAGCACCAGCACTTCCTGGAATACCTCTTAGATTGTACTTAACAGTTACCAAAGAGACAATGGGAGCCATGCTAGCGCAAGAAGTAGAAGGAAAAGAAAATGCGATCTACTACCTAAGCAAAAAGATGCTCGAGTATAAAGCACGCTATACACCACTTGAGAAATTGTGCCTTGCATTGGTGTGGGCCACAACCAAGTTAAGACATTACATGCTCGTGCATACAGTCTTTGTAGTTTCCCGATTAGATCCACTCAAGTATTTATTCGAGAAATCTACACTCAATGGGTGAATATCGAGATGGATAGTCAACTTAGCCTAGTTTGATGTAAGGTTCATGCCACAAAAAGCTATCAAAGGATATGTGGTGTCGGATTTCCTAGCATACTTTCCAATAGAAGACTCGACGCCAATACACGACAATGAATTTCCCGACGAAGATTTGATGGTCACTGAAAATGATACTTGGACCTTGTACTTCGACGGAGCCTTAAACCAAAAGGGATGTGGCGTTGGAGTATTACTAGTATCACTCAAAGAAGAGCATGTTCCAATCTCTATAAAGCTTGATTTCGACGTTACCAACAACGCTACTGAATACGAAGCATGCCTGGTAGGCCTTGAAACAACTTTGGCATTGGGAGTGAAAAAGTTACGGATATTTGGAGACTCTTCATTGATCATCAATCATTTCTCCAAAAGATGGAAAGTAAGGAGCGAAAGTCTAGTCCCTTACCAAACTTATCTGGAAACACTCACTAATCAGTTAGAGAAGGTTGAGTACACATATCTACCTAGAGAAGAAAATCAATTTGCTGATGCCTTGGCAAGACTAGCCTCAATGGTTAGGATTCCTACGGAAATCGAGCAAATGCCTCTAACTACAGAAAAAAGGCATAAACCGGCCTACATTCAAGCTATAGAAGATGATAAAGTAATCCAAGACGAAGAAGAAGAAGAACCATGGTATATGGATATACTCAACTATGTCACCAAAGGAGATTACCCTCCCCATGCTGACAAAAGAGCAAAACGAGCATTAAGACTCTTGGCTTCCCAGTACGTGCTCATAGACAACGAGCTACACAAAAGGGTACCTAAGGGTCGAGCTCTATTATGTGTAGGAAAAAAGGATTCTCAAAGAGAAATGATGATAGTCCACGAAGGAATTTGTGGAACTCACGTAAATGGAAAAATGTTAGTCCAAAAGATAATGCGAGAAGGATACTATTGGACTACCATGAATAGGGATTGCCATCAATACGTAAAAATATGCCCTAAGTGCCAAATCTACGCTAATTTACAACATGTTCCTCCATCTTTGCTCTACACCTACACTTCGCCATGGCCATTCTCTACATGGGGAATTAACATCATCGGCAAAATCACTCCCCCAAGAACTGGAGGTCACGAATACATCTTAGAGGCAATTGACTACTTCACAAAGTAGGTCGAAGCACAATCGTACACCAAACTCAATGCGTAACATATAGCACTCTTTCTCGAAAGAAATATTATTTGTCGATATGGAGTCCCACATGAAATGATAAGTGACAATGAAACTCACTTTCAAGCCGAGTGTGAAGAATTGCTACAAAAATATGGTATTCAACATCATCATTCTTCTCCTTATAGACCTCAGGCAAATGGAGCAGTCAAAGAAGCTAATAAAAATTTAAAGACTATCATCGAGAAAATGACAGAAAATTACAAGGATTGGCCTGACAAACTTCAGTTCGTATTGTGGGGTTATCGCACGTCAATTCGCACATCAAAAGGAAATACGCTATTTTCCTTAGTTTATGGAATGGATGTCGTACAA